AACTCTTCCAGTGTCCTCTTGAAGAGATCACTGGTGAAGTTGGTGCCACAGTCGCTCTGAACCTCCCTTGGAAATCCATACTGGGTGAAGATCTTCAATAAGTGTTTTACAACCGTAGCAGCCGTAATGTTCTTTACTGGAACTGCTATGGTGAATCTGGTGGTAGGACACAGGATGGTTAAGATATAGGCGTTACCTGAACTGGTCCGAGGTAAAGGACCAACACAGTCTATAATAAGTCTGTGGAAAGGTTCCGCAGGCACCTGTATGGGAGTCAGTGGTGCTCTGGGGATAGAGATGTTCGGTTTACCTGCCATCTGACATGTATGACACTGTTTGACGTACTGTTTGACGCTATTTACCATACCTGGCCAGTAGTAGTCTTGACGGATTCCATGGTAGGTCTTGTTAAATCCGTAGTGTGAGAGTGCTCCGTGGGCCAGGTGTAGAATAGTGGGCTGCAGGCTGGCAGGAATCACTAGTTGTTCGATGTTGGCCCAATCGTCCTCCTCCTTCAGTTTACTGGGTCTATATCTGCGGTAGAGCAACTCTTTCTCAAGGAAGAACCCAGGAATACTGTCAGGTTGAGTCTCAGCCTGGAAAAATAATGGTGTCAAGGTAAGATCTTCCCTCTGTAACTTACGGAACTCCAACTTGGTCAGATTCGGGGGTAGTTTCTGAGGGTCTTGAGGGACAGCGGTAGCAGTAGAGTCAGCTGGCTGTGGTCGTGCAGCTTGTGCACGGGTGGTCACTAAAACCGGAGGAGAAACTTCATCACTCTCTTGAACCTTTGCTGGAACATACTCAAAGATGGGGTTATCCATTACAGAGGTACACACCTGGGGTTTGTCCATGACGATCAAATTGGTCGGTTGCAGGTCTTCTGCCAAGTCGTTGCCCAGGAAAAGTTGCACTCCAGGCATGGGAAAAGGCTTTTCCCTGATGGCAACTTTGACTTCTCCGGTCACGAAGGGACAATCCAGGTGGACTCTGGCGAGAGGATAAGGAGTGGTTGCAGTGAGGTCAATGATGAAGACGGTTTCTCCGGTGTAGGCGATATTGGTTGCTGATTTCAGCTGATTTCTGATTTCAAAATAATCGATTGAAGAGCCGCTGTGTCCCTCAAGATCTTCAGTTTGAAACGTCCCTCCGGATTTGAGCCGTTGGTAGAGACAGTTCCAGTATACAGGTGTTTACTGAAAAGAGAAAGATCATTAACATGAACACCAACATTCATCACAGGCTTACCGGACTTAGGAGGAGTCTGTTTGGGTTTAGTTGATTCAGTATTTCCTTTGTATTGAGACTTACCACATTTATCTATGGTATGTCCATAGAGTCTACAATACTTACAGTACAATTGCGAGGCAGCTTGATCGGTACTCACTTTATCGTAACTGTACCAAGACTTCTTACTGGAAGATGGTTCTGGTGTCAGCCGGTGGATGAGGCTGTAAGTGTCAGCCGACTTAGCACACTTTAGGTAGTCGGTCTCTTCTCTATCTGCTAAATATAAACGGACAGGAGGCGGCACACGCCTCAAGAATTCTTCAACTAGCATGAGGTTGATGAGTTCTGCAAAAGTAGAGACATGTGCTGCTTCCAGCCATTTCATAAAATATCTCCTTTTGGTATTAGCAAATTCGAGAAAGGTAGTGGTACTTGCCTTCAGGTGGTCACGGAATTTTCTTCGATAGCTTTCGGTGGAGAGAAGGTAGGCGTCCAACACTGCTTGTTTCAGAGTCTGGTAGTCATTCTCAGAAGCCAAAGTACTGAGTGTAACTGCAGCTCTACCTGTGAGATGTACTCTGAGAAGGGTTGCCCATTTGTCGGCAGGCCAACTAAGTTGATTAGCAAGGGTCTCAAAGGTGGTAAAAAATACATCAACTTCTGTCTCTACGAATGATGGCATTAACTTACTTGCATGTGATATATTGAAACTGACAGGAAGACTGGCGGTAGCTTGCTGGCGTTGAGCGAGGTGTGTAGTTTCCAACGTGAATTCTTGTTGACGACATTCCATAGCCAGAGTTGCTTGTTGTTTGTCATGTTCGCGTTGCATCTCCAATTGGCGTTGTTTTGTTTCAAGCTGTATTCGTTCCCGCTCACGGAGTATTGCAATCTCACGTTCCTTGAGGGCAATTTCACGTTCCTGTTCTTCTTTTCTCAAGGCGGCTTCCTCTTTCCTCAGTTGTAGAGCTTCTTTTTGTTGTTCTCGTTCGATCTTGGCCAGCTCTATTTTGAGTTTCATCGTTGCCAAATCAGTTTTATCTGCAATAAAGTAAGTTTCGTGAGTTTCAGAGTCTATCTTACCTTCCTCTAAGAGATGATCCAGTAACAGGTTATGTAGTTCATTTTTGTTGGCTCCATGGGGAACTTCTAGTTGATACTCATGTGCAAGAGTTTGTAATTCAGTCCTCTTGGCACGACTTAAGGTCCCTATTTCACCTGCTGGATCTGCACGGAAAGCTTGGAGACGAAACATGGTGAAATTAGCAAATAAATGCACAACGAATATACTGTTGTGATATGGTGAATGTCAGAAACAGGACAACGTGCCAACTGGTACAAATCCTGTGGAATCTTTAACAATTACCTGAATAAACATCTGAATCTGAATCTGAATCTGAATTAATGTTAATTTCAAGATGATAAATGATTAATAAATCAAGGTCGCAGGAAATCTTGTACCCGGTACTCATGTAAGAGGATAAGGGCAAGAAGATCCTACTAAATAAGCGAAACTGAGTTTCTAAAACAAATGAAACAATTAATTGCCTCAAAAGTGAATTAGGTAGTCCAAGAATGTAGGCATACCTTGCCGAGTCTCTATAGGACATAAGCAAGTTTTTCCCACTGAAATTAATATGATACTTACAGAATTAGCGAACTTTTGTGCTCTGAAAAAGAAGGCTAATTCCCTACCAATGTAAATATCATCATCTCTGACCGACGTGTAGGGGTGCGAGGTGTCAACTGGTGACGAGAACTGCTGCTGAGGTCCCAATTCAGCAACTAAAGTTCGTGCGAGAGGAACTATGGCCCTCTTTATCCTCCTACCGTCGGATTGCAGAAGATTAGGTGCACTTGACCCGGGGACAGACCACAGTACCAGGGTACCAATATGATGATATGCCGAAAATATGAGAAATATCCTAGGGACAAAAGATGGTAAACACGAGTAGTAACACGGAGGGAGAGATGACCAATTAAGAGAATGACTGAGGCCTACAGTCACCACGTAATCCAAAGTTGTCTCACCTTCACCATATGCTACTCTCGGAATGCACAATACACACAGCACCATATGAAAATTAAATTGAATATTGAAAATAGTGAAAAGTTACTTTACCAAAGCCAAATACGCTTACCACAAATTTACGACCTGGTACCAGTACCTGAGTGAAGCTCCGTGGACAGGCCCCCATGTAAGGTGACGGTAAAGCGTTGGTGTTCGGCTGTTTCAAAAGCTGGGGGCAGGGCCTCATCACATAACAAAAAAAAAAGAGAAGTTTGTCCTTTTGTCTGTGGTAAGGTAATGGGAAGACACACAAAACACAAAGTATAAACAATGAAATTTTAATTACTCTAGAAAACAAGATATGAATAAAGACAATCTCGTAAAATTCAAAACAAGTCAACAAACAAAACAACATGAATAATTACTGGCAATGAAAAAGTTACTCTAAGACAAACAAGTGCAAGTTAAATAAATCAAATAAGTGAGGTGCTGAGAATACTGGCTTCAAGCTGCCACCTCCCTTAGTACACGACAGCCAGGGCTTGTCTACTATAGAGAGATGTCAACTCCAAGGAGCACAGGGATATTCTGAGGAGTCGGCGAGCTGCTGGCCCAGACGTCGACTCATGTGGTGGCGTGAGTGCAGGTGCGACGACACACCAGCCAATCAGCAACAGGCAGGCGGAGAATGAGTAGTTTCCTGGTTGACGGCGGGCGGTAGCCGGTGTGTCGGGTTGTGCTTGGTACGCTTTGCTTCCTGGGCAAAACGTTTGGCGATACTGGTGAACGTATCTTCAATATAATATCTTGTACTTGAAAGACGTAAATGTGTAGGGAAGAGCAGGCTCAATCTCTCTTGAAAGAGATTATCGTCACAATATAAAAAGTAAGAATTAACAAAAGTAACAATTCCAAGTCCGAGGACTAGATTTAACTTAAAAGGTACACCCATAGTAGGTATGAGATAAGCTTAGCCTAGTGACATGGTAAACGAATTCTGCAGAAACCTAAAGCTTAATTGGTACTAGAATTAAGGCCGTGGGCAAATGTGTAGTAATTATATAACACTAGGATATAACAGGCAGGACACAAAGAGTAACTAATAAGTGAGAGACCACATAACACATAATGGACCCGACCAAGAGGCCGTAAAGACCTAATGAATAAGGAGAAGGGGGTCCTGACTACAAGTAGGGCTTACTAGCACCTAGACTGGGCAAAGTATTAGCTGCGGACAGCGGGACACTTGGGGACCGGCACTGCACCCCCACCGCAGGCCAGCGGCCGGACCCCCCTTCCGAAGGGCGAGTGCCAGCTGGCTGCGAGAGGCACTCAAAGTGGCAGAGCAACAACGTCCCGTCTGACGTAGGATGTAAATGCACTACTCTTCCACCTGCCGACTGCCATTATTTCGGATGGGGCGAGCCCATCCTGAGACAGCTGGGTGGCCCTGCCGATACGAAAGGAATGCGGCGCGTAGTCAGCTGGAGGCAAGCCTAGTGCCGAGAGGGCAGCGCTTAGGATCCTGGAGAAATCTCGCCTGGTGACAGGAGCGCCTGCGGCGTGCTTGAATATGGGCCCCGGGCCCACACCCCTGTAGTTAAAGTATTTAGACAGAGCGCGGACCGGGCAGTACTTGCTGGAAGGGTTCGCTCTCAGGGAGAGGGTGGGCCTGCGACCTGCGCTGTGCTTTTTAAGTGTTGAAGACGATATCTATTCCTGCCGTCGTAAATGATACCTGCTCAAGGTTGAGCGTGTGTCATCCACGCTCCACGTAGACTGCCGCACCCGGGCGTAGGCAGGCGTGGAAAGCCAGGGAAAAGAGCGCCCTGTAGCAAGACTTCTCATAGGTAGAGTTACGTACGCCTTCCAGTGCTCGCAGCAGGCGATGCAGGAGGCTCCTCGTCACAGGGAGACGCCGCGCAGGGGCCCGCTGTGCGGAGTTACGTGCCCCTTTGAGGAGTTGAGGGACCAGGAACTGTCGTGTTGGGTCCCTCCTACCGTGTAGCTTGCAGACGAAGGCGATGGCCGCTAGATAGGCGTGCAGAGAACAGAAAGCCAGGCCCCGCGAGAGCAGAGATTGCAGGAAGTTCACCAGGGTCGACGGTGTAGCATCAAAGGGGCATTCTCCTCGCCGCCCTGCCAAGACGTAGGCGGCGTACTCCACCCACTTAGCCATGTAAGCACGCCTCGTCGCTGGCTGCAGGGAGTTGAATAGGGTCCTCACAGTTGCAGGGTGAAGTTGCAGGGCAGGAGGTGCGCGGGAACTGTTGTCGGCGTCTCGGCGAGGCCTGCGTCTCGCAGGAATAAGGGCGGCAGCGTCTGTAAGCGGGAAAGAGCATCACAAACCCCGTTTAATTTTCCTGGGAGGTGGGAGGGTAGGAGTGTAATGTTATGAATGAGTAAGAGCACTGCCAAGGGCCTGACAATTTGCATTAGTAGGGGGCACCTAGCAGAGAGTCAAGTGAGCACGTTTACCACTGCACTGTTGTCCGATTTGCACACCAGCCTCTTATTGGCCAATACCGGGGCGAAAAGTGCTATACCCATATAGAAAGGGTAGAGCTCGAGCAAAGCAATGTTGAGCCGACCCCAGACCTGCGGCCACGTTCCCCTGAACCAGGCTGCCCCTAGCGTTAGGCCGTACCCCTTGGAAAAAGCATCGGCACACATTGAAAGTCATGGAGCGTTTCCCCATCCGCCATCTGGGGGAAAGACTGTTACTCCATTGAAGTCGGTGAGGAAGGAGCGCCAGGCGACGAAGTCGAGCTTAGCCTCAGCGTGCAAGTCGCGTGAGCGGGTGCAGACGACGCAGGAAGGCCCGGCCGCCCGGGATTACCGCGGTGGCGAATTGCAACTTGCCAATGATCGCCTGCAGGTCCCGGAGGGGGATGCGCTCCAGACTCAGCGCGACTTCCACTGCCGCCGTGTACTTCGTTCTCTTGTCCTCAGGGAGTCTTGTTTCCATCCTACGAGCATCAATCTCCAGCCCCAGGAACGTGAGGCAGGAGCACGGGCCCTCTGTCTTGTGAGGTGCCAAGGGGACCCCCAATCGCTCACAGAGGGCAGTGAACACCCTCAGGCTTCGCTGGCACTCGTCGAAAGTGAAACTAACGAAGAGGAAGTCGTCCAATACCTTCACAACGTCGCGCACCCCAAACTTCTCGGCGAGGATCCATTGCAGGGCACTGGAAAAAGTCTCGAAGATCCGGCAGGAGGGGGCGGCTCCCATGTTGAGCATCTTGTCATGGTAGTACTTGCCCCCATAAGAAAACCCCAAGAGATGGTAGTCGCTCGGGTGTACTGGGACGATCCTGAATGCTTCTGCGATGTCGCACTTTGCCAGGTGTGCCCCCGGGGAACGGCTGACAACCATTGCCACCGCATCGTGGATAGACTGGTAGGTGATGGACGTCGATTCCCGAGGGATGTTGGCGTTCACACTGTCAGGGGAGTAAGGGTAGCTGAGGTTGTGCAGGAGGCGGTACTTGCCCGGCGTAGACTTCTCCCTCAATGCTATGGGCGAGCACTTGAAATTCTTGAAAGGGGGGGCTTCGAAGGGGCCCGCGATGCGTCCTAGACTCAACTCCTTGTCGAGCATGGGCCCGACGATGTGCGGGAGGTCCGTCGTAGCCTGAGGGTTGCGTGAAGTAAGGGGGGTTCGCGCCCCTTCAAAGCCAAGTAGGAACCCCCCTCTGAAGCCCTCCACGACGTAGTCTCGCAGGGGGTATCCCACCAGCAAAGCATCAAGGGCGTCGGCATCCACCGGCGTTATTACTGCCGGCGTTCTTCTTACCCTTATCCTGTGGTTGTCTTCGTGGGCGCTGGTCGTGGGTGGGTCCATCGCGTAACTGAGCTGGGGGGCACGTGGTGTAGGCCAGGTGCCTCCTTCGGCAGCGCGGACAGTAGTGCTTGAAGGAACATGAGGTAAAACTGCAGCCGGGTCCCCTCGGGTGGTAGGCAAAGCAGTAGCCCGGGGGAAGCCCTGCGGCCCGGGCGCTAGAGAGGGTAAGGGCTGCCGGCCGACCTGCCTCCTGTCTGTCTGTCTGAACGGCGACGTGTGCGACGCGCTGTACCGAGCGGAATTCCAGGTCCAGCCTGTAATCAAGCCAAGAACAGTCCGACCTCTCCTTGTCCCATCTGAAGGCCTTGTCGTACCACATCCAGTCACCTTTAAGGGTCACCTTCATGGTCTTGACGTAGCGGGCGTAGGTGAGCAGGGCCTGAGCCTCGGCCAGGTGCTTCTCGACGTAGATCGTAGCATAGATGTCGAAGCCGTGCGCCCACTGGTCCGGCGTCAGGGGCAGCAGCTTCTTACCAGATGCCTGGGGGTCAGTGGTGGGCACGGGGCGCGTCTCGTAGGGTCCAGCTTCTCGCTCATGAGTGAGCAACTCCCTGAGGTCAACATACTTTTTAGCCCAGATCTTTTCCCGGAGGGCCTGAGGTACGTGTACGCCCAGGAGTGGGATGGAGGAAGCCTGAGGTGCCCGAAAGTGTCCCAGCCAAGGGCTAGTAGGTGGGGGAGAAGCACTCACCCTGGGAGACTCACCATAAGAGGACGGGCTGGAGGAGCTGGCACGGCGCCTCGACGTATGCCCCCTGGCCCTGGATCGAGGGCGACGCTCGGAAGGGAAGGGCGAGGGGGCTGGGGCGGCCGGGGCAGGGGCGGCCACGGCACCTTCCCCGTCGCGGTGGCCTGAGCCCGAGGAGGGCCCACACGTGCCTGCGCAATGAGGGCCTGCAGCGTCGTCCAATCGTCTGCTGAAAGGGGTGGTAGTTGTGTCACTGTGCCACCCGTTGCTTTGCCTGAATTGCGCAGCTGAGGAGTGCGCTCGCTGTCCGTGTCCGAACCAGCCGAGGAGGGCTCTGTAGAGGGGGAGGCAAAGCGTGCGGGCTTGGTCCGCGCCCTGGCCTGCTGTGTCCTTGCTCCACTACGTTGCTGTCCTCGCGTTGACGCCGTCCGTGCCCTCTTCCGTGTTGCAGAAGTTGGGTAGTCCGGCTTCTCGCCACTGCGGAAAGAGGGAACGTTAGTGACAGCCTGACTAATCTGGTGACAGGCAGGGGGGAAAAAAAACCCGGCTGCCGCACCTGCTAGCATAATATACCCCGCCGCAACTAAAAGTAACTATAGACACGATGCCGGGGATAGAAACAGAATCCCACAGGCACGAAGGATGGGGAAGGGGGGGAAGATAAGCAGACATAGGAGGTAACCAAGGTGACGGCTCCCACAGGCGTGCCCGCACGGCTGGGGGGGGGGGGGGGAAACGGAAATAACAGTGGGCTGAGGAGAAGATAACGTCGCCGAGGCGCGCTGGACGGCATCCAACCCGGTCTGAGAAAGGACATAGGCCCAAAGGCAAAGGCGAGTGGGCGATATAACTTAGAATGAAATGGAAGAATGCGGAAGTAAGAGGGCGAGACCGAGTAAACAAGGGAACCGGAGGGGGGGGTGGGGTCACCTGATAAGCCGCAGCTCGCTCACCGAGCTGGCCTTACCTAAACGTACATAGTCAGGAAGGAGACAAGCATAAAAGTAACCCAGCAAAGGAGACAAGCAGCTGACAAAGCATAGCCTGCAGGAGGCGAATGAGCTGAGGAAGGCTGAACGAAACAGGTCCAAGATAACTTAAAGCAAGGGCAAGAGGCCCGTGACACAGCAACGAGCCCAACGCGTCTGAATTTACCCAATAGCTTAAAGGCAAAGCGCTAGTTAAACACCCGTAAGTAGACCAAGAAAATAACTATGCAACAAGAGCGAAGCAGCGTGCGGGATAAAATGCATAGGTAAACTAATCCTACATGTAGGCCAGAAGCTAAGCAAGAGGTCAAAAAAAGGGGGGGGGGGCGAGTACTGCAACTAGCACAACCTAGTTGACTTTTACTTAAAACTGAAAGTCGGAAGCAAAAGTTAAACAACCCAAGGAAACCCAGAGAAGAGAGTGAAATAGTAGCCTGAATAAACAAGCAAGAAGCAAGAGGCCCGCAACACAGCTACCAGCACAAGCTAGCAGACCTTACAGAGCATAATAGCAACAAGCGGAGTTGAACAACAATGGAACCGGGGGAAGAACATAACTAAACAGCGAGAGCTAGGCGTAAACATGAATAAATTGAAAGGAAACTAAACAACTGCAGGGCCAGAAACTTAAAGCATGAGGCGAGGGCCCACGACTGCATCTCACACATCCTAGCTGCCTTGAAAACAACGGCGAGGCAAAGGGGACAACGAACTGTAGACACAACCAAGGAAATAAACAAAACATGGCAAATGAGACAAAGAGAAAATATGTAGGCTAAATGGAACATTTCGCCCTATAATAAAGAAATAACAAGTTCTTAATAACAAACATAAATGATGCACGACACAAATGTAACCAAATAAGTAACATGAATTAAATTGTGGTAGGCTAAATGGAACATTTCGCCCTATAATAAATAAATAACAATTTTACATTAAGAGAACAAAGGTGATGCACAACATAAATATAACCAAATAAGTAACGTGAATATACTGCAAGAGCTAAGCGTAAAATACTGTAAACTACTCAGGAAACTAGGCAAAATGCAGGGCCAGGAAAACGTAAAGCTAAAATAAGGGCCCGCGAATACTGTAAATAGCACATCCTGGCTGACTTTACTTAATGACGTAAGGCAAGGTAAAAGTGAACAAACATACTGTAACACAGCAAACGTAAAATGAACATGCGACATGAGCAAAGCATCAAATGTAGGAGTAAATTATGTTAGGCTGCTTGGAAATGCAAATCCGAGGTAATCTGAAAGCAGGAGGCGTGACAGTGCTGAAATGTAGAACATAATTAGGAATAAGAGCAAGGCATGACACGTGATATCTGCAAGTACAAAATAAGGATATACAATCAGCATGTAGAGAAAACAATAAACAATAAAACACTACCAAAATAATATGGGCATGAGGAAAGCCAAGGAATAAACTCGAGGAGGTGAATAAGCGTAAGGGCACCTTCTGGCCGCCAATCTAAAATGCAGAAGGATAACGAGCATAAATAAATAATTAACAGGGAGGAATATGAGTCGCCCGGCGGCCGGCCTCACAACAACGAGGTGAGGACGTTTAGGGTACAGGGCTGGGCGGGGTGGGAGGGGGGGGGGGGAAGCCTCTTCCCGACGACGCTTCGACGCAGCCACCTGCTGGAGGATACCGGGCCCCAGGCAACAGTGAGGGCCACTGCCCCTGTCCAGGGCTACTGCCCCTGGTTCTGGACGCTGAGGACTTAACGAACAACGAGGGGGACGAGTCATCCTGGCTTGCCGGCTGCAACGCTGACGCCGAACCCTGGACCTGTGGCGCTTACCGTTAGACGTAAACCTACCGTAGTGGCATCCGGGACGCCTGCAGACGTCGTCGGGCTGATCTCGGGACCGTGCTCCAACGCCAGCGGCCCCCTCCGACGTTGAAGAACGACAGACGACACAAGGCGGACGGGCAGGCGGACGAACGCTGAACTTGCAACGGAGAAAGGAATCCGTGCTACAACGTACGGGCAAGGCACTTGTGACGAACGCACAGGGCTACACCGGCCAGGCAGAAACGCCTGGGAACCAACCTGCCGGGCAACACCGGCCAGACGTAGGTCTGCGAGTAACGGTCCTGGCTACCCCGCAGGCGAGCTGGACACGTGCCTGTGGGGCCCCGGACCGACGAAACAGCTTGATACTAACACACCGGGCTACACCGGCCAGACGTAACGTCTGGGTACAACATGTCGGTCTTACACCGGCCAGACAGACGTCTGGGGACAACGTGCCCGGCGACACATCCAGGGAAAACGTACCTGGGGACTCCGGGCCGACAAAGAGGCCTGGGGCTAACTCCCCGGGCAACACCGGCCGGGCGAGACGTCCGAGGACGAACGTGCCTAGATGAGAACACAACACACACGCCATGGACCCCATGGCCTACCCACCAAGCACTGCCACAAGGCATGACTCTGGGCCTAGGGCGAAGGGGAAGGGGGGGGAAGGCCGCACACAGGCGCGCCCAGACGGGCGCAGGGCAGCCCTAGCCCCGAACGAGGGAAAGCCGTGGCGCAAACAGGGAGCCTCGAGGGAAAGGCGGGAAGGACGCCGAAGCACGCCCAGACGATCAGACACGTCGTCGATGGCGGCAAGGCATGGGCCCCAAGGCAGAGCACGAAGGGCATAGGGCCCGCCACACCTGGCCACGTGGCGACGCCGCCAAGGGCACGCCTGTCCGCCGTCGGGGCCCCAGGCAGGGCGCACACCCGGGCACGCCACGCTGCAGGGCCCCCTGGGCACGTACGGGCACGGCTGGACGGAGCCCCCACCTGGGTGGAAATCGATTGCAGTCCACTAGGGATGCGGCCCAGCACACGCCGGCTATTATGGACCCGAGCCCAGCGTCCGAGCACGGAGCAGTGATGACCGCGCCATCTGTGGGTCAGCTCCCGAAACCCCCTCCAAATGGACGACACCATCTAGTGAGGACGAGAAATACTGGCCACAAGGGCTAGTTTCCCGTCCTGATCAGCTCATAAAACAGCCGCTGCTGACCTCTGGTGAGGTGACGCTTGGACAGCAACGCCATCTATGGAGTGG